CATTAGAGTATAGAAAAACACGACATTAAATGATATTTGTCAAACGCTATAATATCAATAAGATACCTAATATTAAGTAAAACTACTTGATTCCTTCACTAAATTAGGTTGAGTTAAGAAAAATAGTCCACTCGTACTTCTTTCGTGAAATAATGAAGCAGGCAATTTCACCAAATCAATTACACATTCCGATTCGTCTAGCGCAAAATCTTTTGACCAAACTCTATAAATGATTATTATTTTTGCAAAGTAACTCTTCGCTAGTGAAAGAATGAAATCCACGAATTCTCCATTACTCTATGCTTTGGTAAATGGTAAGGGTAACTTCCCATCTTTATTAAAGTCAAACAAATGAATTTACTGACGAAAGCAAATTTCATATAAATTAAGTTTCAAATCCATCCATTAGTCAAAAAATCATTTAAACTTTGCTACAGCAGGGTTGCAAAAATCGGAAAAGGTCGAAATTACACTTCTTTCGATGCATACTTGAATATGTACTAACTGTAGTATTTCAAAAATGAATGTCTACACAATTATTTAAAACCATAAATACATAACTTATTTGCATATTTGAAAATTCACATAGTAAGCCTATGGTCGAAAGATCTAAAATAGCATTTCAACATTTCTGTCACATATCTATCAAGTTAAATATTGGTCTATTCAATGTTGTAACTTTGCATTCTCAAGATTATTATCATTTGTGTTTCACGAAGTCCGACTTCAGTCTGATCGTAGCATAATTTTAACAACTATATTATTATAAAACTAAACTTAGATCCACATGAAAGATCAAAAAGTTTATGTAAGAAAAAAGTAAAAACTAAATGTAAATGAATTCAAAAAACAGTATTTAGTTTATAAAATATTCAATAATCTCTTTGGTATTATTCGAAGTTTTTGTTTCGATACTTAACTCGAATGATCGTGATGAGATGGTTGTTCCATTTATACAACATCTTCTACTTTCATATGCTCGTAAGCAAAATTCCAAATTGGCTTTAGATTTTGTAAAATTCTTCAAATGAAAAACGTTTATCGTCATCCTCGGCAAGATAAGCATCGACTTCGTCTTCTGGTAGACCCCATTGAATCAAGAGTTTTTGTAATTCAATCGCATCAATGTAACCACTCAAGTCCGTATCTAAATCATTGAAGACAAAACGTGCTTTCGCTTTATCTTCGCGCTTTTTACTTTCTTGAACATAACTAGTGGCCTTTTCGCCCAGACGCCAAACGTTTCTATAGAAAATTTCAAAAGATATTTCACGTTTTTTCGAAAAACGCAAAAATCGTTCGATGAAACTCCCCGCTACATCCCATTCTCTGAGTAGACGTACGATTTCTTCGCCATCGATTGTTCCATTTTTTTCTTATCTAATTGGTCAAAAACTCGTTTTGCACGTTGTTGATCAACCATCAGATCATCGTCCTTCATTTTCACCAGCCGAGTTTTTTCTTTTATCCAAGCATCATGAACAGTTCGATTGACAAGAAGATCACGTGTATGCTCACTAACGAAAGTAGCACGTTCTTTTTCATTGGGTCGTACTATAGCAAAATAAAGTAGAATACTAGCTGCTACATAGCCTAAGAATAACATATTGGCTGCAACACCGAGTACGGCTGGAAAGAGAATCAGACCCGAAATTAGGATAGTGCTTGTATAGAGCGTATCTTTGAATAAGCCTGCAAAGCCGAAAAAAAAAATAAAATACTCGACACCAGACATAAATATTGTGAACGAGAAACATATTCAGCAACCAATAAATTGAACTTGGCTCGATGAGTAGGTGTAGTGCGCAGAAAAGATGAAGAGAAACAGCAAATAAATACGCAGCAACCATCAACGCTTTGGCGCCAAACGCAATCGATGTTTGGTAATAGGATGAAGGTACATGACCAATAATGGCTGATAAAACAGCAATAGTAGCAATGCGTTCGCTACTAATACAAAAGGCTGTCCAACATGTAATAAATTCAAGCAGACCCGAAATAATGTGTACGTAGATAGAAATTCGACGACAGATTAATATGACGTATTTTGGGTGTGGTGCATGCGAAAAATGATAGTAAAGTACGAACATATTGAAAAAACTTGAAACAGCACTTAGGATACATTTTTCTATGTACAAATAGTTCGATGGTTGACTGAGTGTCAAGCGATGAAATAAATAGAATGCAGCTAAACTCAGCTTGAATATGATAAAGTAATAGATATATAGACGCAATTTATTTCCAGCCATATTTTAAAAAATACTGGCAGAATTCGAAGGTATTTCAAAATCTACGATTACTTCAATAATGAATCACAAAGAATGCAAATTGATAATGATCAGAGAATAATACAGTTTTTGAAAAGATTCAAACTTGATATTTGAAAGATGAGCGGATTACATGACTTTCTACTAGGTCTCTAATTTATCTCATTAATCCCCATAGTGCTCAGCAAGACACCGTGGTGTTGAGCACTAACAAGTATATTAACTATTGATAGTTATAAGACTTTTTTTGGACTAGTACAATAAGTTTCAGAGCGAGCCGAATATTTCGATTTGTTAAATAGGCAATTCCGATTCCGAAAGCAAAGTTAAATCCGAGAGACCAAATGAATCTCTGGAAATGGCAACGAACTCTGACGAAAAAAATGTCTGATAAATATCATTAGTTCTAGCTTTTTTCTCACTTTCTATCTTTATCTTTCGAAATGAAATCCGAGTGTCATTAATTAATACGAAAACTACTCTGTTGATAAAGAAAAAACATCAGCTATTTCCAAAAAACAACATCGATCCTGAATTTTCGTTCTATTGAAGTGGCTAAAAAAAGTCAAGAGTGGATGAAGACCAAAGCTACCCATCTCTACACTCATAAAGTCAACTAGACTAGAATTTTCCTCTGTTCATTATTGTTCTTTCGCAGCATAATCAAAGTTGCACATCTCAATAGTTTTAGACTCATGCAATAATATGCACCTTAGTGCTTTGAGATCAGCTGATTCGCACTTTCATAAACACTAGCCTTAATTATCAGACACTGAAGTTTCATCGTAGCTTCGAATACAACAAAGTCACCACATAATTGACTGTAAAAATATCTGTATTCATCCTCGTAATAGAAAGGCTCTTATGAAATTCACTACATCGTTGGATAAATTTCTAAACAATGAATAGGAGAGCAATGAGGGTAAAATTCGTTTGCAAAACATAATCCTTGAACCTGCGATGGATATAAAAAGACGAGTTTGAAAATACACAATATAAATAGCAACGGTAAATGACGTTTTTTTCTCTTTCTTTTTCTATTCATTGTTATCAATCGAGTGAGAAGCAAGTGCAAAAAGTGTCTCCTTCACTTGTCAATAAACTATAACTATCAGTGATATGAAAATAGTAATCGATGAGAAATCATTGATTCACCCATCTGCAATGCATATATTTGATGAGAATAAGTGAAAAATAGGAATGCAGCTTACATGAACATTATCTGTAATGTTTGTATTTTATTTAATAAATTGTTGTTTAGATCAAACATTCTATTTCAACCTCTATTTTGCATCAGAGCTTATCATAACTGGAGTAATCTTTTTTTATTTTTTATTTTCAATTTTGTTCGCTCTTTCTATTTATATGTTGAGTAAATTATGTCCATAAAAGATTCATCACTATATTCGAATATCATGTTGTCTATTAATATCTATTATAACATACGATGCAAAAGTCTTGGTATGAAATATCGATTCCTGTATCTTTTTGATAGAAAGACACTGAAAGAAAACCTTTTTTCACAAAAAGATAGAGGCTTTTCTCCTTTTTCGAATCGTATATGACTTGTTTTTATATCATGTTCATAAATAAAACGACTCAACAGAAAAGAGACGCATACTTTAAAAAAATCGGCACTTTTCCTAAAAACAAATTCATACAAAATGTCAATCCTTATATCTCGTCGATACATACGTTCTGAAAAGAATATGTTTGTCATACATTCGCAAATGAAATGAGATATGAAAAAAGAGAAACACGTGCAGAACAAAGTTGTAATTTTTGTCTGAATTCCTCTAGAAACATTTTGTGGACGAGAGTTAATTATAATTAACTGACATTTTACAAAGTATTTTAAATAGATTCATAAAAGTCGAAATAACCACTATTTCACAAGATCTTAATGAGTACGAAAAAATTGAATTAATTGTTGTCAAAAAGGATGTTTTTACTGAATCCATGTAAGAATGGCAAATTTGTTGCATGAGTGATTCTCTTTTTGTCTCGTCTCCTTTCATTTACGAATGTGTAACTAATACAAATCATACTGTTCAAAAGAAGAGTAAATTCCCTATCCTTGAAGATGCAGTATTTCCCGCATGGGATGCCGAATTTTCAAGCATATCTCTCCAGCGATGATAAGCATGGAAACACGAACATAGTCACATCTCATGAATGTGGATGAAGCAGAAAACGCTAACACGCAGTCAAGCTCATCATGTAACCATCAGTCTTTGTGCCGAGAACTTAGAAACAAACATTTATTGGATGATTCATTCATTGAATGTACTTCGATACAATTTCGGTGAATATGAGAAGAAGATAAAACCTGAAATAATATGAATTATCAATGGTTCTATCGTGCTCTGTTCGATTGAATAGGTAGTAGGAGAGGAGAGAAATTTATGTTTCGTACGCATTATTGGTTCCAGCATTGAATAACGAAGCGAACATTCGTTTAAAAGAGATTCAAAAAGGGCTGAAAATCTTCGAGTTTTACGGCAAAATATGAATTGGTTTTAGAATTTTCGAATTACTGTATACAAGAAAACTTCAAATGATTCAAATCCATCTGAATCTCTTGAGATCTCTTCAAAGATTTCTAGAAACGCTTAAATACATTGTTATTCTTAAGTATATAGAAGAAAAACAATTTATCATTTCACTGATCTAATGGGACCTGGTGGAATCATATTTCTTTATTCAATCTAAGATTAAATGCCATATACATTTAATGATATTAAATTTACTGGTTTACCATTGAATAAACAAAATATTTGAACAGTTTTTGTTGAAATTTGTTACTTGATGGAACTCTATTCATTATTTTTGATTTCAAACTGATCCTATACATGGTATTAACAATGATGATACGCTAAAACAAGTTTCTATTCAAAGCGTAGTCGAATGAATATTTATCGATTTTAAGAGTAGCAATATATAATAATTATTGTAAGAGTGGGATGTGGGCTGGGTGTAGGGGCATATGTGAGGTTAAAAAGAAGACTACAGTAATTCCCAAACCCATACCCTCATGTGCAAAGATTACATAGCACTTAGTTTTATGGATATTTAAGCCAAAAACAAGATGGTTCATTGAAACCTGCTTGACGATTTCGAATATATGATCGTCCTTCATCGCCAGATAGTTTAGGTTAATTTCGTCCTCTCGCAATATTCGTCAATTGGTCGATGTATGGCTACTTGTACCGTAAGGAATGACACGAGAAAGGCTATTGCATCCATGACTAAGTAGCGACTTCTCAAAATTCTTGCCATCAATAAAAATAATATATTAGAAACATAACAAGCATTACTGAGAGAGTCCTAATGTCTGTTATTATACGCAGTTTTAGTATGTCAAACCGCAAACAGATCAGTCATTTATAAAAAAGTGAACTTTTTCACTGTTGAGTCGCGAATAATACCAAATTCTGTTTTCAATCGACAAACTATTGAAATTTAGATCAATTTATCGTGTTTATTAAGACAAAACATCAACATCACAATGAGTATGAAGATAAATTATGTTTTCTTTTTTTAGTTTGGGTAACACCCATACACAATCATTTTCTGCCGAAATCTAGAATTAAAGTATCAATAGATATATAAACAGATTGTTCTGATGTTTAATTTAAATTCTTACTGAGACATTTACAACTCAGTTGGCCATTGCTATCACTGAGACAAACACCTATTTTCGGAAGACATTCTACTGCACATTTGATATAGTCTTCCTGATGACAACTACCGGCATTGACAATATCTAAATTGATAGAACAACTCAAAATTGAGAATTTTTCTTACATTGACACTTACCTGAGAGAAGAACAGCCAGAAAGAGAATAACAACAAAGAAATAGAACTTAGAATGCATTGCTATATTTTGCAGATTAGTTTTAATATACTTTGACACATGTACTTGGCCTGAGGTATTTATATGTAGATTTAATTCGAATTTTCTCGTCATGTAACTATATTTAGGAAGTATGACTCTTCAGCGATATGTAATCGAAATAAGAAGAAAAACACATAGGAACAAGTGTTTTTGATAACATACACGCAATTGTCATTTGACTCTGGTTCTCAGAGAAGAAATAATAATGAGTCAATCGTTTCTTTATTCTGTAAAATGTCGATATCAAATGTGTCATACTTCTTAAATAAATAGAAATTGAAAGAATATAGAAAAGACAGATGTATATTGTAATAGTATCAATCATTGTGTGACGCAAAATCTTATTTTCATCGAAAATCGTCAATAACGTTTCATTATTCATTGTTCGTATACGATGAAATTTGAACTCTATGCTTTTCTCAATTGATTGCAAATATTCTTTTTACTATTCTGACAGATATATTCAACGAGATTGAAAGTCTCGCCTAATGAATGTGTAATATGAAGCAAAAAATAGCTTGTCTTATTGTCTGCACAACTTTTGCTTTGACTTGATATTCCAGTATTCTTCTAGTTCTATACATATCTCCTTTAATCTAGTAATTTTTCAGAATACAGACTCGGATAGACAAAAGAAGAACAGTCGATGACGATCTATGGCAGATAGAAAACCTATTCTTAACCGTCATTACATTTAGATTGGATATGAAACAACTATATCGACCATTGTTTTGTCTTTTTTACGTGACTGTAAAGTGTTGAAAATAGTAATGATTCATTATTAATCCAACATTGTTGCCATAAAAGTGTTAATACTTTCATCGAATTGACCATATGGATTTGTTCTCTATAAAGACATGCAGAATAATCTGAATAATTCATATGTTTTTCGTTCAAAATGGATGCTAGAAAAATTGTTAATTATGTCACTTTTCATAACTAAGCTTTATACAATTCTGTATTAGAATTCATCCACACGATTCAGCTGTTTGATGTTGCCTTCGTCGTTAGCCGAAGCACGATGATTTATCAGCAATAATCAACCAAACTGGATGAAAAGTGACATAATTAACAATTTTTCTAGCATCCATTTTGAACGAAAAACATATGAATTATTCAGATTATTCTGNGGTGGGGGGGGGGGGGGGGGGGGGGGGGGGTGGGGGGGAGGGGGGTGGGGGGGGGGGGTGGGGGGGGGGGGGGGGGGGTGTGGGTGTTGGTGTATTTCTAACATTTACATCCGCACCCACGCCCACCCACACCCACACCCACACCCACACCCACACCCACACCCACAGCCACACCCACACCCGATCATATCAATTCAAGTCGACCTGATTAAAAACGAGCGAAAGTTGCAAGAAAATAATCACATTCGATAGAAAAAAATTGAGAATCGACGGAATTTAGACGTAAGGTTTTGCATTGGAAAGTTTCTAAAATCTGATAATAATTTTCGACCATCTTCTGTCGTAAAGAAGAAGACATGACTTAGAAGTCATTGTAAAAATTCCCAAAACTATCTCGTCAAAAATACAGCCTATAAGTTGCATGAAATTTCTAATAGTTTTCTGCTGGTATATATTCATATTCATTTGACCTGAGTATAATAATGAGTAAATATTTTTATTTTTTGTTTCGATAATAGTTTTATAAAAGTCAATTTTCATTGAAGAAAACATCTTCGAGAAATGTGCTTAATGAAGAATAAAATTGATTTAAGCATTAATTTATTGACATCCAAATTCACTTCATAACGCTATGAATCACGATGGAAAATAAATAAGACCACTACTGGTTCGACAATATTCTTGTGAGCTTACTTTTTTAAATTAACAAATATTTTCTTTTAAATTTTTATTTTTGAATGGTTCACATACACAACAGGTTGAACATCGATAATTGATATCGCGACATATTCAAGCATCATGGAAATTCCTTTTTTTTATCATTGTAACGTCTAGTTCTCCTCAATGACAAAAATAAGTTCCTCAACATTTTTATTATAAACAAAAATCATTGAGATTTATCATCAATGAAAATTTCATCGATTATTTCTTGATTTGAGTTGAACTATTGAGAAAGTATCAGCCGTTATAGAATTTTAAAAAACGAAAATTGTTTTATCGGACTCGAAAGTTGAGCATTGTACTATGAAACAATATAATATATAAATAAGGTTCCGATATAAAGTTTGTCCAAGTTCAAACAAGAAACTCAAAATAATGTTCGCTTGGGAGTTTTATTTTTTTTTCAAAAAAAAACTCATAATTTGAAGCAGAAGAACTTAGAAACAACCAGATGTTTATCACCAGTATCGGATTCTACATCAAACACTGTATTTTTAAACTAGGATCCAATCAAAAAAACAACTATTTCTAGTATGCCTATCCGAGAAACTTTTAAGAAAAAAAAAGTTGAAGTTCCGATTAACTAAATATCCAAAGTTATTTAAAATCTGATAGCTACTAATTCCAAATAGCTTTAAAACAATGCATAATTATAAATAAAAACATTGCAAAATGCTTAGTGGTCTGGAATTATATAAAATTCAGTATTCAGTTGACTTAGTTGAATTCTAATTCAAATAGTATAAATTAAACGAGTGGTGAAAATTATTGTTCAATCATTTATTTCTAGATTATATCGACGTTTCGAACCATTAAATGTTCATTTTCAAGACACAGACAAGTACTGCCCAATTGGTAAGAAATGGAGGTGAAGCTTTCGTTTATTTTTCAGCTGATCTTGATGACGTAAGTGGGGGAGGAGGTAGGTAAGGTAAAGGTATTTTTTTGTTTATATGTTTTCGGGAGACTTTGAAGTGTCAGAATTCGGGTCGGAGATCATGTGGGGATGTAGTCCTTCGGGAAAAATGAGCATCGGGACCGAATGTGTAGCTTTATTTAATTTTGTTTAGTAAGCTTTGATTACTAAAGATTCTTTTACTTGTAATCGGTAGCTGTTACTATCGTGCCATATGACTTTAAAGCGTTCCCAATCGATTTGGTGTCCGGTTTCTTTTTGGTGGCGAGATATTGAGCTATCGTTGGATTGTTTTTTATTGTCGTTTTTTTCGTTTTCATCGTTTCTTTTGGTTTTTTTTAGGTGTGTCTTGGTTGTTGGAGCGTTTGTTCTTTGATTTTTCAGGCGAACACTGGTAGAGCATCTCAAAGTTTCTGGTTTTGGATAGGATGTGGATCTAGTTCGTATCGTTTTCTTTAGATATTGGCATTTTCTCCGAGTTGGTTCGGTAGATGATGGTTCATCAGCATCGGTTTCTTCATGGTTTATCGTGGTACTTTGATCAAGGTAAATTAATTGTTCTTTGAACAGTGACTTAGGTGCTCCATTTTCCCATAGTCGTCTTGTTGCTTGTCTCTCCGTTTCACCGACATATATATCACCACAGTCGCTACACTTAACTGAATAAACGATGTCGGATTGCAAGTATTTTGGTATTGTGTCCTTTGTGTTGAAAAATATTGGAGCGGATGAGGGAGGTCTGGCGAAGAAGCGGACATCAAGATGGGGGCGATTTTTTCCAGCGATTCGTGATAATTTCTTTCTAAAAGAATCGATCGCTGAATCAGCATAAGGAATTTCAATATACATCTGTTTTTTTTCTCAGTCGACAATTGTGGTACCGCGGGTGGCAGATATATTCAAGTGTTTACTTAATCCGATACCTATTCGAGTATCGAGAAAGGATAATGGATAACCATTATGGAGATCGATTTGACGAATATTCTCGAATTCTGTGGCTAATGACGAGTATGCAGAACATGAAGCTAGAGCTCTGTTTATTAGGTTACAACACTACCCTTTTTGTAACTTCCAGGTACAAAGGAATTCCATTTTATCATTAGACCAGTAAATGTTTTTTTTCGATAGACAGCTGTTTGAAATTTCTTGGTTTCAGGTGTCCGAGTAACCCATACATCGAGAAAAGGAAGAGAGCCATTTGTTTCTAGTTGATGAATAAAAGTGATAGATGGATGAAAATTATTAAAAATTTTTATCACATTATCTACTTTTGTTGTAGCTTCAACAAGTACAAATGTATTATCGACGTATCGATACCAATCACAGACACCAATTTGCTTCAAGTGATCCATCAAACTGTCCTCGAGATGCGACATAAAAATGTCGGCAATTATCAGAGCCAGAAGATCACCCATTGCAACGCCGTTATGTTGAACGTAGATTTTTTTATCGAAAATAAAGTGAGTTTTTGATGTTGCTAAGCGAAGAAGATGTCGAAAATCCGATCTATTCCTGCACTTCTCACCAAGACGACTTCTTTGTTTATATTTACATATGGAAGAACACGTAGGGTACATTTTATCGAGTATCAAGTCAATAGTGTAGGCCAGTGGAACTTTAGTAAACAGGCTCGTAACATCAAAAGAGATCATTTTTTTATCTCCATGTTCTAATTTTCTGATTTTTCGAACAAAATCAAATCTATCTTTGATCATATACGGGCTTGTACGGAGTGTATTCAATCGATTAGCCAACATTTTACCGAGTCCATAAGCTACTGTTTTTGTAGCTGACATTACAGGTCGAAGAGGATAGTTCTCTTGTTTTTTATGTAATTTAGGTACACCGTATATTCGAGCTGGTCTTGATCCACTGGGGGATGCCAACTTGTGTTCTTGATCACTAATAAAATCTTCCTTTTTTAAGACGAGCAGAAACTTAATTAGTTCGTTTTCAGTATCTAAGGTTGGATCGTGATTGATTAAGGTGAAAGCAGATCGATCGTCGAGTATTGCATTCATTTTTTTCTATATAATCTTCACGATCCATGATAACTACGCCACTTCCCTTGTCAGGTCGAGTAATAATGATCGATTTATTTTTAGCGAGAGAATGAAGAGTACTAAAAGTTTTACGATGTTCGGCACCAATTTTCTTCAGTTCAGATTGAGCAACTTTTCGAAAAGAATTCGCTGTCTCACGTAATTCAGATGCAGCACTCAATTGTACTGATGTTAATTGATGACGAACAGCTTCAGTGGATGGTTTCTGTTCGTAATGCTGATATGCAGTTCGTACATTTAAAAGACGTGCATAAAAATATTCCATATTGCATATGAACTGTGGTTGATCGAGTTTTTCAGGTGGATATACATGATGTAATCCATTAACTAGAGCATCATGCTCGCTATCGGTTAAGTTGTATTTTGAAAGATTTGTCACCGGATCGCCCATCTTCTGCGGAAGATTTGTTACCGGGCCAAGAATCTGTCGTTGTGGAGCACGTCTTTGTTTTTTTTCACGTAAACCATTGAGTTTTGTCTCGTGTGTTCTTTCAATCTCGTCCATCTTTTTTTTTTTGAATCTCTTGTGAAATAGATTGTAAACGAACATAAATAATATGAGAGACACTTTGTTTCAATTCGGCGTCCAGTCGTCTCAAAAGACGCTGCTTGAACTTCATTTCAGCCTGCAAAATATTACGAGCGCACGTTTGCCTTAGTTTAGCATCGGCTATATACGGATTTCCCAAACGAACTCCAGCGAAAATAGATATTAAATTTTCATTCTTACATGTGAGAATAAAACCAATAGCACTTTTTAACCTGTGTATTCGAAGTTGTTCTTTTACAAACAGACCAAAAAGTTGACTAGTATTTAGACCATAGTGTCGCCACAGATAATTGTAGACATTCGTAGCTGATAATGGTAAAAATTTAAGCAAGTACTTACAGAGTAAAACCGCTTTGAACAACATAGTATTTTATTTTAAATGATTCACCACCAAATTAAAAAAGAACAACGTGCGATATTATGATAAACAGAACAGTGAAGACAGAAAGAGAATAACACTGGAGAACTAAAAAAACAGAACAGACAAAAGGCGATAAAAAAATATCTACCATGTGGAAACAATAGAGAAAAATGTACCACTGCATCAAGAATGAAAAGGTGAACGAGAATCGACTACCGATAACAAAAAAGAAAAAGAAGAAGAAAAAATCCACAAAAAAGACGAACAAAGAAATGATCAACATATATATTAGAAGCTTGAAAACACACCAGGCAAACGTAACCCTGATAATATGTTGAACTACCAATATTGTACCGCTTAAAAAATACGAGAAAAGTACTAAACTATACATCAAATAAACCTATTCTTGATACATTACTCATTAGAGTAACATCATGGAATTCAGCAACAAAAACAATTAGCTGCGATCCAACACTCCTTATTATTCACTTAGTCCCTCGAAGCATCGAGTAGTAATAAAATCTTTCTTTAAAAACAAATTTCTCCACCAAATATATGTTTATATCGATATATTGAATTTTCTTTAAAAATTAGTTTATTTAATTAATTTTCGTGATTTCAGGCTTCAATTATTATTAGATTAGGAATAAGTAGTACTTGTGATACTTTTAGAGTACAACGTTGTTCTTCTTGAAAATCATGAATTAGTTCAACGAAAACGGTGACTATTAATACATTTTTTTGATTTTATGGAACCTCACAACCAAATTTCCATTCATATGAATAAAAACATGTTCTTTATTTTTGTTTGCCTACTAACATTCTAGCACGTCCTTTTGGCCTCGCATTTCATAAAGACAACGGGGAAGAAAAATTAAAATAAGTTATTTTCTTTTTTCCGTCGTGAAACTATAAAACATGCAATCGCTTCAGCAGCAGCAGCAAGAATACCAGCAACACAATCATCAACACCTAACATCAACATCGATGGAATCAGCTAACAACAAAACTTCAGAACAACTAAAATCTCTCTCAAATATGGCTAATAATCTGGAATTCATAAGCAAATCCCCAAAACAACTGATTCACAGTAGACTACAAAAGACTTTTTTTTTCGTTTTAAATTTGAATGCGCATAAGCCCGAGTTCATTTAATTGTCATGCACTACTGTTTCCGAGTATATTTTAATTGTTTTTTAACCTTTATTCTTAAATTTCTCCTTACTTGTACTCGAATCCCAATACCCCACGAATACATACACATTGTAAAATAAATAAATGATTACGACTCATTCGTAATATTCAGCGCTATATTTCTGTATTTATTTCTGAATAAATTAAGGCTCTCTACCATATATTTACGTATAAAAATAAAAAAAAATTAGTATCTCGTGGTGTACAAGAGCTTCAAAGAAAATTAAAATGAAAAGGTCGTGCATGTGCTCATAATACATCAGCAGTACTCGTTTGTGTCTTGAAAATGAACATTTAATGGTTCGAAACGTCGATATAATCTAAAAATAAATGATTGAACAATAATTTTCACCACTCATTTAATTTATACTATTTGAATTATCTATCAACGCTCTCTATCATATATTTATTTATGAAAATAAAATAGTTGAATTCTATTTAAAGACATCGTCTTTTTTGTTGAAAAAAAAACTCAACATTAGAAAGCCTCGTCACGAAATTTCATCAAAAAGAAAAAAAAGATGATTTTTGAACAGATTATCTTGGTTAATAGACATCTAATTTTCTACAAAGGTCATATGACGAAAGAGTGCTTTGTGATTGATCGATTAGTAACGAATTGAAAAATCTTTTTTTCTATTGATCGATGCTTGTTCGATGATGAATTCTATCAGCATCTTTTCCAGAAACTAATCAAAGAATTGTCTACTCAAAGAAAAATTTCACATGTTAAGGGCACTCAATGTTATTAAGGAAAAGAAAACGCTCCCATTTGAAATAATATAGATTGTTCTCTTTTAAATGGTAGACTTAGCTTTCTCTACTTTTAGATTTGAATCCTTCCCATTTAAGAAAAATCAATCAGTGGTCTTGCCAATCACTGATTAAATCAATTTTAATACAAGAGTAATTTAAGATTCTCAAAAGATTGCAGCAGTAAAACATGTTAAAACATATGTCGAAGGTAAAGTTGGGCAAGAGAAATTTAAATTTAAATTATTTGTTTTAATCAATCATATCTGAATGAACGACAGATCCATAACAACATAAAAAACGAGCTGTTTAACTGTGTATTCCTATGTGATTTGTTTTTAACCCAACCTGATCTACTTGAAAATCTTGCCAATCTAGATCTAATTAGGGAGTGGATAAAGATATTGGTGTTGAATGTAGATGTAGGACTTCCATTCAACCGCATCCACATTCACATCCACACCTTCCCTATATATGTGCTTGTAATTAGGAGGAGATGAATGAAGAAAAGATTCTCCTGTGCTTAAATCTTACCCGCTATCGGTGCTGTTACATTAGCAATGATTGTCGAAGCGGAGCTCGCTGCTGTTATCGAAGTCATATCCGCTGCTGTTATCGAAGTCATATCCGCTGCTGTTATCGAAGTCATATCCGCTGCTGTTATCGAGGTCATATCCGCTGCTGTTATCGAAGTCATATCCGCTGTTATTGAGACTGTCGAAGCGATGTCCACTGTTGTTTCCATGGTTGTCAAAACGACGTTTGACGTGATTTCTGTGTTTACCGAAGCCATGCTCACTATTGTTGTTGTGTCTGCTGAAGAGATAGTCATCGTTGACAGTTCGGTTGACGAATTAGTATATGTTAGTGTAGTCGAGGATTGTGCTGTTGGTCGTGTTAAGAGAACGGCTGGGACAGTCACAGCAGTCGCTACAACTGCGATGATGAGTAGAGCAATAAGAGCTTTGCTCAAAGCACCTAATCTTCTATAATGACAATGATTGATGACAATACTTTTCTTTAGATTTATTATACGTACTTGCCGCTTTTTACTGTCACTACGGTAGAGTCATCAACATGAAAGGTCCCATATTTTGGGGTGGATGCTGATACAGTTATATTCTTGGATTCTAACTGCTCAGTTTGTGAATCAACCGGTCTAACAGCCATGAATACAAAATAATAAAATAATTGATAAGGTAATAAATAGAGAATGCAGGAAAATATCTATTATATAGCGAGTAATGCACTATAGTTTCGGTGAATATCGTTGTCTTTTTCAACTTAGATGTTTCGTCATTTGACGAGATAATGAGCTCTCTTTCTTATCTATTCTTACTATGCTAGAGTCAAAGTTTCTTCTTGAAGAAATTTTCGTCTACAAGTTTAAAAAAACGAATATACAATAGAATTAATTGATTCGTTATCATATGTAAACAAAAGAAAAATATTTACTAAATGAAACAAATGGACAATTGTATAATATAAATAAAAAATATTCGAAAAACAGCTAAACTTCTTTAAAATCTTCTATAACACGTGATATTTCGGTATCTATTTCACAGATACCATCATCAGACGAAATACCCACAAAACGTAAAAATGATTCACACTTTATATCAACTTTATTACAACCTGATATGCTGTGTGTAGATAATGTATTACCACATTGAAATATATATGATAAGTTGACTCATTGAAAGAAAAATGAAACAACTTGCAAGAAAGACATCCATTTTTTTTTATTGCTGTGTGTATATCACATTATAAATGAAACAAATGGATATTTGTATAATACAAATAAAAAATATTCAAAAAACAGCTAAACTTATTTAAAATCTTCTATAACACGTGATATTTCGGTATCTATTTCACAGATACCATCATCAGACGAAATAACCACGAAACGTAAACTATTCACACTTGATATGNCCTGTGCAAGGATTGCTTGTCTTGGGCAGCAGCTTTGAATTTTATAATCAATACAACAAATTCAATAATATATTTTTAATCAAAAAACTTTTTGAAATAAATACATATAAAATGAATGAAGAGCGTAATTTATTTTGAAAATTTAAAATAAAATAAATTGAATAAGTGGCGATAAATTCTTTTGTTTTCGACGTTTCGAACCTTTAAATGTTCATTTTCAAGACCTCGTGCGTGTTAGAAATCTGTTTGGTCTTGGAACGGATGTTGTTTCTAATTTATTAGCGCGTCGGCAGGGCGTGAATAAGTACGTAAGATAAATAAATTTGTTTTAAAATTTTTGGTGAGAAGGTGTTAAGTGCTTTGATTGGGGTCTGGAATTATAGCTTGAGGTAAACCTTCTGGAAAAACAAGCATGGGAACGGAATGGGTAGTTTGATTTAATTTTGTTTCATATGCTTTGATTACTAAAGATTCTTTTACTTGTAATTGGTAGTCGTTTCTATCTTGCCATACAACCTTGAAATTTTCCCAATCCATATTGTGTCCTGTTTGTTTTTGATGGCGAGATACTGAGCTCTCATTGCTTTTTTTTTATTTTCGTTGTTTTGGTTGCTGTTGTCGTTTGTGTTTTTTTGTTGCTCTGTGTTGATTTTTGACGGCGTTTTTGTTTCGTGTACCTGTCGATTGTTTTTTGTGAGTCTTAACGTTTTTGGATTCGGATAGGGTGTGTGTCTAAGTCTTCTGGTTTTTTTTATGTGTTGACCTGTCGTTCGACTTGAATCAATTGCTGCGTGTTCATTATCATCTTGTTGTTCGTCGTTTTCATTGAGTGTTGGATCAAGATAAATTAAGTGCTCTTTGAACAGCGATTTAGGTGCTCCATGCTCCCATAGTCGTCGTATTGCTTGCCTCTGTGTTTCACCGACATAGACATCACCACAGTCGCTGCACCTAACGGAATAAACGATGTCGGATTGCAAATATTTTGGTACTGCATCCTTGATGTTGAAAAATATTTGAACCGATGAAGGAGGTCTGGCGAAAAAGCGAACATCAAGATCCGGACGAATTTTTCCTGCGATTCGAGATAGTTTGTTTTTAAAGGAATCTGTAACTGAACCAGTATACGGAATTTCAATATACATCTTTTTTTTTTCGCATCCGCGAATCGTAGTACTGGGTGTAGCAGATCTCTTCAAGTATTTACTTAATCCGATGCCTATTCGAGTATCGAGAAACGATAATGGATAACCGTTATGGAGACCGATTTGACGAATATTCTCGAATTCAGTGGCTAATGACGTGTATGTAGAACATGTAGCTAGCGCTCTGTGTATCATTGTTACAATGGTACCCTTTTTGTAACTTGCAGGTACAAAGGAATTCCATTTTATCATAAGACCAGTAAATGTGTCTTTTCGATAGACGGCTGTTTGAAATTTCTTGGTTTCAGGTGACCGGGTAACCCATACATCGAGAAAAGAAAGAGAGCCATTTATTTCTAGTTGATGAGTGAAAGTGATAGATGGATGAAAATTATTTAAAATTTCGAGTACATTTTCTACTTTTGTTGTAGGTTCAACAAGTACAAATGTGTCGTCGACATATCGATACCACTCACAAACACCAATTTGCTTCAAGTGATCCATCACACTCTCCTCGAGATGTGACATAAAAATGTCCGCAATTATTGGAGCAAGAGGTGCACCCATTGCAACACCATTATGTTGAACGTACATTTTTTTATCGAAAATGAAGTGAGTTTTTGATGTAGCTAATCGGAGAAGATGTTGAAAATCCGACCTATTCCTGCACTTTGCACAAAGACGACTTCTTTGTTTATATTTACATATTGAAGAACACATAGGATATATTTTATCGAGTATCATGTCAATGGTATAGGTTAGTGGAACCTTAGTAAACAGGCTCGTAACATCGAAAGAGATCATTTTTTTATCCCCAAGTTCTAATTTTCTGATTTTTCGAACAAAATCAAATCTATCTTTGATCATATACGGACTTGCACGAAGTGTATTCAATCGATTAGCCAACATTTTACCGAGTCCATAAGCTACTGTTTTTGTAGCTGACATTACAGGTCGAAGAGGATAATTCTCTCGTTTTTTATGTAATTTAGGTACACCGTATATTCGAGCTGGTCTTGATCCACTGGGGGATGCCAACTTGTGTTCCTGATCACTAATAAAACCTTCTTTTTTTAGGACAAGCAGAAATTTAGTTAGTTCAGTTTCAGTATCTAACGTTGGATCATAATTGATTAAAGTAAAAGCAGATCGATCATCGAGTATTGCATTCATTTTTTGTACATAATCTGCACGATTCATGATAACCACACCACGTCCCTTGTCAGGTCGAGTAATAATGATCGATTTATTTTTAGCGAGAGAACGAAGAGTATTAAAAGTTTTACGATGTTCAGCACCAATTTTCTTCAGTTCAGATTGAGCAACTTTTCGAAAAGAATTCGATGTCTCACGTAATTCAGATGCCGTACTCAATTGTACTGATGTTAATTGGTGACGAACAGCTTCAGCAGATGGTTTCTGTTCGTAACGTCGATAAGCAGTTCGCACATTTAAAAGACGTGCATAAAAATATTCCATATTGCATACGAACTGTGGTTGATCGAGTTTTTCAGGTGGATATACGTGATTTAATCCATTTACTAGAGCATCATGCTCGCTATCGGTTAAGTTGTATTCTGAAAGATTTGTCACCGGATCTCCCATCTCCTGTGGAAGATTTGTCACCGGATCGACAATCTGACGTGGACGATTTGTTACCGGGTCAAGAATCTGTCGTTGTGGAGCACGTCTTTGTTTTTTTCCCCGTAAACCATTGAGTTTTGTCTCGTGTGTTCTTTCAATATCGTTCATCTTTTTTTTAAGAATTTCTTGTGAAATAGATTGTAAACGAACATAAATAATATGAGAGACGCTTTGGTTTAATTCGGCGTCCAGTCGTCTCAAGTATTTTTTAGTTCCACTCAAAAGACGCTGCTTGAACTTCATTTCAGCCTGCAAAATATTACGAGCACACTTTTGCCTTAGCGTAGCATCGGCTGTATACGGCTTTGCCAAATGAACATGAGCGAAAATAGGTATTAAATTTTCATTCTTACATGTGAGAATAAATGCAATAGCACCTTTTAATCTGTGTATTCGAAGTTGTTCTTTTACAAACTGACCAAAAAGTTTACTAGTATTTAGACCATAGTGCCGCCACAGATAATTGTAGACATTGGCAGCTGATAATGGTAAAAATTTAAGCAAGTACTTACAGAATAAAACCGCTTTGAACAACATATCATTTTATTTAAAATGATTCACCACCAAATTAAAACAGAACAACGTGCGATATGATGATAAACAGAACAGTAAAAAGAGAAAAAGAATAACACTAGAGAACGAAAAGAGAACAGAACAGAACAGACAACAGACAACATACAATAAAACAATATCTCACACATCGAAAAATAAGACAGAAAATTACCATTCCATCAAGAATGCAAAGATGAACGAGAATCGACTACTGATAACAAAAAGAAAGAAAAAGAAAAAACACATAAAAAGACGAACAACGAAGCGATCAACATATATATCAGGAACTCGAAAACACACCAGGCAAACGTAACCCTGATAATATGCTGAACGACTCATATTGCACCGCTTAAAAATTACGAGGAAACCACTAAACTATACATCAAATAAACCTATTCGTAATATATTACTGACTAGAGTAATATCATGAACTTCCGCAACAAAACATAACTGCGATCCAACACTCTCCGTATTATTCACTTAGTTGATCGAAACCTCGATTAGTAAGAAAAAAATTTGTTTAAAAAAAAAATTGTTTAAAAAAAAATTCTCCACCAAACATGTGTTTATATGAATATATTCCCGTTTACACTAAATTTAGTTTCTTTAATTAACTCTCGTGATTTCGGGCTTCAATTATTATTAGATTATAATTAGGTAGTACTTGTGATACACTTCCAATAAAAGGTTTTTTTTCTTGAAAGTCATCAATTAGTTGATCGAAACATTGACTATTAATAATATTTTTTGTTTTTATGAAATTTCTGCACAAAATTCCATTCAGATGAATAAAAACATGTTTTTTTGCTTTTGTTTGCATATTAAAATTTTAGCTCGTCATTTTGGTCTCGCATTTCATAAAGATATCTCTGAGAAAGAATTGAAATATGTTGTTTGCTTTTTTCCCTCTTGAAATTCTAACACGTAGTTCCGACAATGCACCGCTGCTCGGCAAGAAGTATACTGTAACAAAAATTTCCTCTTTTCTGCATTTTTCATCCTTTTATTCTATCTTCAACTGACCTTGCTACATCATTTTATCATCTCTCTTTGTCCGCTTGAGAAGTGAGGCAGATTTAAAAAAAGCATGAGTGACGATATACAATTGATGACCTGCTAGACAGAATGACAGACTGTATTTCAACACAGATATTCCATCGTACACAATCTTTTTTTCTTTTATCTTTGACTCTTCATTAAAATAAAATTAATATCTAATTTAGATACGTTCAAATTCTATTGTGTCAATACACCTATCCAATTCAATTGTCAATAAAACATCATTCATCTGGTAAATATTTCTTCTTCTACGACTGTTTCACCTATATATTTGTTGTATAATTTCAGATAAACAAAAATACCAATAATAATGATTTACTATTACTATTATTTTTTTGTTGTATTTCAATATTATCTTGGTGTTCGACAATGTTTTTCTTCACCAGCATCCGGTTTATCGCTTAACTACCATAATAATAGTGATGATTCATCTGCAACAAATCAATATTGCCCAAGTTCAATCACCTATAACAAAGTTGCTGAATTATTATCAATCAAAACCTGTCAATCGCCTGCACCATCAAAGAAACTTAATACCAAACACGATCGTACAAGACGTCAAATTGATGCCGGAAACACTGACATCAAAGCTCTACAAACAACAATTAATGATCATCGAACCATGATTCAATATTTATTCAATAATTCAATCAATCAAACCATTCTTATGAACGTACTACACAATCACTCACGCCTCGCACCATCATTGACCAGCTGGCGAGATCTAGTGGATATATTTTGTATTGCACTAGTCTTAATAATCGTCACCTACTTACTAATTTGTCGCGTCGGATTTTCCCCTTGCGACAAGCTATTCGCATTTTTGTTTGGACGGATTCTTACACGAATACAACAACAGCAACAACAGCAGCAACAGCCGCAACACCTACAGCAGCAGCAATATATAAATCAGCAACAGTATCCAGAGCAGCAGGAGTATCACGAGCAGCAGCATCAATACAATCATCAACAACACACATTAACAGCATCAACAGCACCTAAAAACACAACTTCTCAAACACTGAAATCAATCTCAATGCTGGCTGACAATCTACAACTCAAACAATAACCCAGCAACAAACACCATTTTCACCAAAATCAGAAACACTTTTTTCTCAACAAAACATGTACCTCTTCATTCTTTTCTGATTATCATCATATATCTTTTTCATGTGAATCCACCACTTCCTTAATTATCAATCGTGTTTTTTTCGTCAATATCCTTCATTCTGAAAGTCAAAAAAAAAAGAAAAAGTTGTTTAAAATAAAGATAATGATTAAAATTCATCTCATATCTTTTCCTCCAGCATTTGCCAACTACTTTTCGAAACTAAATTACGCTCTTGATTCATTTTATATGTATTTATTTCAATTATTATCTCGTGGTGTAAAAGAGCTTCAAAAATCGAAAAATCAAAACAATAGGTTATGTACTTGTTGAGGTCTTGAAAATGAACATTTAAAGGTTCGAAACGTCGAAAAGAAAAGAATTTATCGCCACTTATTCAATTTATTTTATTTTAAATTTTCAAAATAAATTACGCTCTTCATTCATTTTATATGTATTTATTTCAAAAAGTTTTTTGATTAAAAATATATTATTGAATTTGTTGTATTGATTATAAAATTCAAAGCTGCTGCCCAAGACAAGCAATCCTTGCACAGGATTCCGGTCAGGATTTCGTCGGAATCCGATAAAAACTGACGAAATCTGACAGAATCCTATCGGATTTTGCACGTGTCCGATCAGATCCGACGGACGGAATCCGGCCCATGGGATTCCGACAAATATCCGACAGGATACAGACGCAATTATTTGAATCCGACAGGATCCGACCGAGCGAGAATCACTTGGGTGTTATTTCTATACGATTTAACTTTTAACCTCGTATCAGGAGAGCTGTTTTCGTGTTGTGAAGAACGTCGTTTTGTGTAAACAGCAATATGATCTTTAAAAAAGGTCAGAATTCCAAAAAAAGAATTTTTTTATCTATGAATATCATTTGCAAAACTAAGTCAGACGTTGTTGTGGAACACTGTGAATGTCATCTTGTACCAGTTGACAGTTTTCATTAGTACCTATTTAAAGGATAAGAAATATGCATTATAACCTTAGGCAAAAACCATAGCATGTAGAACAGAAAGAAAACGCTCTTCTATAAGATAGTCAAGAGTAAATACTGTATTTTCTCTTCTTATATTTTGCAATTTCTGTTCTCTCATCGAACGGTCCTATCTTTCTCCTTTATTGTGTTTTTTACTCCATAATGATATCTATTTGCTATTCTCCAGTTAGTTGCTTCCGTTCGTATGTGTTTGGTAAGTGATAATAAGAGCGGCAAGACCATCTGCATGTTACTGTAAATGTGTCTTACATTTTTGTTTGAGATAATTTTTGCATGTGGATTTTAGAGTTTGAAGCATTAACACATTTATTCTAGTATTCAAGATTTATTTTTTTTTCTACGAGATTAGGAGAATCTTATTCAATTACCAAGAAAAATGAAACAGCAAGAAAATATATGTACCGCTAGCTAGAGAAAAAGATTGATATTAGACGTTGATATGTTTTTATTATGTGTTTATTTCATTCCTTATTCCTTAGGCTATTATTTCACGATTAGAAAGCGTTTTCTCGTCTATCAATGCAACTTTCAGGGTATGAGTCGTTTACTCGGCCGCGTCATAGTTGTACTATGGAACGATTAATCGTGAACATAATAGTGATTCTTCAACATTGGAGACTTTTTACGATTTCCTCTGATCAACGGTTTATGCAGCTGTTTTTTTTTCATAAAGCAAAGATCAAAATAAATGTTGATAGAAAAATCTTAGAATCGAAGACGTGTTATTCTCTTTCTCGTAGAGAAGAGTCTTTAGTATGCCCGCAGAACAGAAAAAAGATGTACATTTACATGAATCAATATCAAAAGCGCTATGTTCTACGTGTTTAAAAAGAAATAAAATAGGCCGAGCTTTTGACCTGTGCTAGTCGATACAGGAAATTTTTCTCTATTAAACCGTATTTTTATTTATTTAAAAAAAAAGTCTAAGTCAAGAAACGATCAATAGGAACTGACTAATCAGAATACAAATCAATTGAAGCGAACTTTTTCTCAAAAAAATCTAATGGGCTGAAGTTTTGACTCATACTAACTGATACAGAAAATTTTTCTCTATCTAACTGTACTTTTACTTTTTCCAAAATAAATGTCTATTCGGAGAAATCATAGATATGAACTGACCAATCAAAATACAAAAATGCTAGTGACTTGATAATGAATTGATGATTCATCGCTATTTGCGGGTAGACTACTTGTAAAATAAATCGTTTGCTTGCTTGCTTGTATGTCCGCACTTCAGTGATTGGTCCAGGACAAGATGAAGTTATAATGAATTATTTTTCATAAAACTTGACCAGATGATAGTCGAGGGTGGGGAGTTTGAATCAAAGGTTAGTTTTAACTGATTATTAACTAATTACAAATCACTAATTAATAAATAACTAATAATTAATATTTCTTTGTAAAAGTTGACTAATAGGTAGTCGAGAGTAGAGAGTTCGAATCTAAGGTTAGTTTTAACTAATTATTCATTCACTGATGATAATTATTAATATTCTTTTATAAAACTTGTCTCTAGTTAACTAGGGATCGCAAATCCAAATGTGAGGACAATTTAAATTAATTTATAATTGATCGATAATTAATTGATTATTGTTTTAATGTTTTTTTCAAAAAATTGGCTGAAGGCAATCGAGGGTACCAAATACGGATCAGAGATTTGTTTTAATTAATAAAGTATTATTGCTGAATTATTAGTTCTTTGTGTTTTCGATAGAACTTTATCAAAGATGATCGACGATGGAGAACCCAAATCTGGAGTCTGCTTCGAATAATTAAATATAAACGTTTTTTCTGACACTTGAAAGGAAAAATTTACGATCAGAACTAAAATCCAAAGTCTCATGATTTCTTACCAAGTACTTCTATTATTCGTGTTTTTTCTGGAGAACTTACTCGAAGAATTTTAGAAATAAAAAATAAGGGTGTAGATAAGTTTGTGTTAATAAGCTAGCAAAGATAAGGAATAGTAAAACATATTAATGTCATCATAGTTTAGAGAAAAACTTTACTTGAGAAAATCTTAAACGAAGAATTTCAATCTGGAGCTAGCTACTGTTACTTATGTTGATGAGTGAAATATTTGGGGAGTCTCGAGAAAGGGCACTTCTACGAGAAAGAACTGAGCGAGTCCAATGATGAGCGTTATTTGTTAAGAGTAAAAATTATTGTAACGAGAGAAAGAGATAGGGATACATAAAATCCCGTTTATTTCAACTCTTGGAATTGGTAGAAATCGGTTAGAATTGGATTTGAAATTGGCAGGAATCGGTTAGAATCGGAATAGGAATTCATTTTAATTGACTCGAGTCACCTAAGAATTGTATAGAATCCTAGAAATTCGTTTCGAATTGGTCTGAAATTGATTAAACTTGACTTGAGTCGCCTATAATTTTTATGATGCCCTAAAAGTTGTTATGGAATGGGCCTTAAATTCGCTTGAATTAGACCATATTGCCTAAAATTCGTATGGAATCATAGGGATTGGCCTGAAACTGCCTCTGATTGGGTGGGTGTGGATGTGTGGATGGGATGGATGTGGATGTGGATGTGTTAGCGTCCATGATGGATCACTTGAACGCTAAACGATGATTAAGATGCGCCTTCTAGTCTAATTGGCTTAGGACAACTGCCCGGATAGCAGGAGGTATGGGTTCGATTCCCATGAAGGTCATCTTTTTCGTCGTTCTGTCACATAACATCAGTGACACTGCTTGTCTCTTTCGTTGGGTGTGGGTGTGGGTGTGAATGAAGGAAAGACTCACGCTCACATCTCACTCACCCACCCACATTCACACCCCTCACCCACACACCCACACACCCACATCCGACACCCACACCCACTTACACCCACTAACAGCTTCAGCGCATTGCAAATACCAAAGGAAGGGCCGATAAAATTAGTTTTGATATGCCTTTATAAACTCAAAGTGAGTGAACCACTCGGGTGATCTTTACGAAGCCGGAAAAGTTTGAGGAAAACCAGTGAGGAAACTGAAAGGGAAAAGGGAAAAAAATAGTCAAAATTCGCTCTGTTAGTACAAAAGAAGAAAAAACAGATCAACATATAGTCACTAGAGAGCCGTACTTTTAATAAATTAAAGAGGAACATGAGAGAAACCTCTCTTCTTTCCTTTGCCATAAAGTGTTTCTCCTCACCTTCCTCCAAGGGGGAAACGGCGGATTTGGATTTTTTGGATTTTTCGGATTTTTTTGGATTTTTTGGATTTTTTTGGGATTATTGGGATTGTCGGGATTTTTTTGGGATTTTTTGGATTTTGATAATCCCAAAATCCAACACCAATATCCTGTTGTAAATACAGAAATTTCGAGCTGAAATTTTTT